GCATTACATGTGGGGGTTAGAGGACAGCTTGCAGAAGTCAATTCTTTCCTTGCCATGTGGGTACTGGGGATCAAACTCAGGTCATCAGGCTTGGTGGCAAGGACTTTTACCCACTAAGCCATCTCACTAGCCCATAACTGTTTTTATGAGGTGTGTGTGTGTGTGTGTGTGTGTACTTGTATGCCAAGGTGTGCTTTTTTTTTTGGTCCTTTTGAGACAGGGTCTCCCTGTAGCTCCAGCTAGTCTGGAGCTCACTATGTACACTAGGCTGACCTCGAACTTGCAGAGATCCGCCTGCGTCTGCCTTCCAGGTGCTGGGACTAAAGACGAGTGCCACCACCCCCAGCCAGAGGACAACTTTTAAAATTTTTTAAATTTATTTTTATTTTTATGTGTATGAGTGTTATGCTGGCATTCGTGTTAGTGCACCCGTGTTGTGCAGTGCCCACAGAGGTCAGAAGAGGAGGTCGAATCCCCCCTCTTCTGGAGTTATGGATGGTTACTAGCCACCATGTGGGTGCTAGGATTCAAACTTAGGTCTTCTGCAAGAACCACCAATGCTCTTAACTGCTAAGCCATCTCTCCAGCCCAGAGGACAACTTTTGAGAGTCAGTTCTCTCCTTCCACTTTGTTTGAGACAGGGCTTTTCCTTGGGTCTGCTGTGCTGTGTACTCTAGGGTACCTGGCCCAAGAGCTTCTGGGCAATTTTCCTGTCTCTGCCTTTCATCTCACTGTAAGAGTGCTGGAATTACATGTGCACAGCATCGCATTGGGCTTTTTTTTAAATGTATGTTCTGAGGTTGAGCTCCAGTTGTCAGGCTTTTGTGGCAAGTGCTTTTACCTGCTGAACCATTTTGCCAGACCCATTCTGTGATAGTTAAGCTGGAGCTGGGCTCACTTGATCTAGTTCATAGAACACTGGACTCCAGTTCCAGGGAGTTAAGCCTTTCCAACATTAACCCCAAAGTGATGATGACACTTATTCTCTGTGAGAAATTCCAGAAATAGCCTGCACATCTCTGAGTTGCAGGGACACGGCTGGGAGGGCTGTACAGAAAAGGGTCCCAGGAAAGGAATGGAAAGATCTACTTGGACACCAAACAGTTTCTAGCCCGCTCTAGTTGTAATGAGTGCCAAGTATAAGAATATCAGGGTTTAAGATTCTGTTGTCCAGCAAATTATTACTCATCATAGATGATAATCAGCACATACATCCATTTGAAGGTGTTTGCCACAGTGTAGTGTCTTGATTTTAAAACAGCTTTCCTGAACCTAATCTTACCACCAGCAGTGTGGAAGCAATTGTAATTCTACATGAGTAGGAGGCTGTAAGTACTGTTAGTGGGGGTCGGCCCAGCACGGGGAACCTCTGAGGTCATAATGGTTTGGGGGTGGGGGTTGTTCTTGCTTTTCCTTTTTAAATTTTTTCCTTCTTAAGTTGTAAATACACAATTCTAAAATACTGAATTTTAATGGAATAAAAAAAATATTGACCTGGTAATGTTTCTTTTTTTCTCACCAAAGAAAAGATGAGTGTTTCTGAGAAGGTTGGAATTTCTTTGTTATCTGTTACTGTGGTAGGGGATGATCACAGTTCACATTTCCAGGTTGCTAGGAGACAGGCAGCCTATCTTACAGATCCTGGCATGTGAGACCTCTTTACCTCCTTATTCTTTGAATGTCTGCATTTCTTAGAACTGCCAAGCTTCCTTTCTGAAACCTGTGTTATACAGAGAAAACATACTTGCTTTGACCAAGCTCCAGAAATATAAGCAGGGTAGAAATGTCAAGAGAGGCTGAAGTACAGACTGTTACAGGCTGCCACAGGAAGACAGGATTCTTCAGTAATCAGTTTTGCCTCTCACTGCTGTCTCCTGCTTTGTGCCATCTTCCCTTGTTTAAGAGTGGTTAGTTGGGAGGAGGCTGAGAATACTCTTCTAGTGCTTCAGATAATGTTAAGACCAGTAATGTAGGTGAACCATGGTCTCAGGAACTATTCATCAAATAGTTCACTTTGATATCACTGGAACATCTTTCCTATAGCTATTTTGGTTTTAGTTTTAAAAATTACTATTTTTATTTTATTTGTACGACTGTATTGCCTGCATATGTGTAAGTGCACCATATGCATACAATGCCCACAGAGGCCAGAAGAGGGTGCCTGGGTTCCCTAGACCTGGAGTTACAGACAGTTGTTAGCCACCATGTGGGTGCTGGGAACTGAACCTAGGTCCTCTGCAAAAGGAGCCAGTGCTTTTAACCACTGAGCCATTTCTCCAGCCCCCCTATAGCTATTTTGTCTATATACTTTAATTTTTCTTGCAAGAAAAATAAATATCTTAGGTTACAATGCAATTATTTTGGGAATTCCTTAAGTTTAAGATTAGATTGCTAGGGCTAAGAAAACATGCCCAAGCCAGACATGGTGACATACCTGTAATCCAGTGCTTGAGATAGGGGAACAGAAAGTGCCCAGATGGTCAGTGCTAAAAATGTGGCACTATGGCCCAAGAGTTATGTGAAGTTGAATACTTTCCAATACTCTGCTTTTAGATAGCACAGGATTGGAGATTAATATGGTCAATTAAAAATATCTGCTTCATGTTAGGACCTCAGGCCCTCTGTTCTGTCTCATCCATGATAGACTTCTTTCTAACAGTGTGGTTTGGAGGTGATTTGTTTGACCAGTACCTCATTTGGCTTTATTTATTTTAACACTGAGACAGGGTCAGACGTCCTAATTAGTTACATAAATAAATACTCTTTATAGTTTAACTTGTCTCAGCTCAATTCAAAATATGTGCAGTTTATTGAGATAGCTTTGTTTTCTGACAGTTGCTTGGGTGGACTGACCATAGAAGTATCAGTAGGTAGACACATTCATTGTGAGCTACTTAAAATGACTGGAGGGACTGGAGATTCACCTCTGCTATAGAACACTTTCCCAGTATCCCTGAAACCCAGAGTTTGATTCCCAACTCCAGAAACTTAAAGTAACTAGGCCATCAAGAAAGTTACTGAGGCCAGGTGTGGTGGTGCACACCTGTGGTCCCAGCACTTGGGAGGCAGAGGCAGGCAGATCTCTGTGAGTTTCAAGGCCTGCCTGGTCTACATAGTGAGTTTCAGGCCAGCTGGAGCTACAGGGAGACCCTGTCTCAAAAAGACGAAAAAAAAAAAAAAAAAAAAAAAAGTTACTGAGGACTGGAGAGATGGCTCAGCAGTTAGGAGCACCAGCTGTTCTTACAGAGAATTTGGGTTTGGTTCCCAGCACCTACATGGCAACTAACAACGAACCATAACTCCAGTTCCAGGGGATCCGGCACCCTCTTCTGGTCTCTGAGGACACTGTGTATATGTGGTACAGTTGCATGCAGGCAAAACACTCATACACATATTATAAAAATAAATCAGGCCAGGCATGGTGACACATGCTATTAGTCCCAGCACTTGCGAGGAAGAGGCAGGCAGATCTCTGTGAGTTGGAGGCCAGCCTGGTCTACATAGTGAGTTCCAGGCCAGTTGGAGACCCTGTCTCAAAAAGATAAATAAATAAATAAATAAATAGATAAATAAATCAGGCAAGGTGTGGTGGCTCACACCTTTAATCCCAGCACTTGGGAGGCAGAGGCAGGCAGATCTCTGAGTTTAAGGCCAGCCTATCTATATAGTGAGCTCCAGGCCAGCCAAGGCTACAGGGAGACCCTGTCTCAAAAAGACAAAAAAAAAAGTCAGAAAAAAAAATTTTTTTTAAAGAAAGTTGCTGAGATAGGAAAGACAAAGGTATATTGACAGAGGTTAGGATTTTATGCTTGCATAATTCTCAATTATTTAGAATTAAATGCTTCTGTACACAAACTGAATATGATAGTGGGCCTTGGTTTGCCTGTCATTTTTCTTTATCCTAATTGCTTTGCTAACTTTAAAGGAATTATGCAAAGGATAATGTTCAGTATAGAAAATTAAAGTATGTATATAAACAACAGGGAAAATCCTATATTTCCATTATTACTTAGAAATAACAGTGCTAAATTGCTATATCTGTCATTCTAGATCTTTCCATCATGTAACTATCATTTTACAAATACAATTACATGATGTATGCTATTTGGTAAATTTAACTTTTTTCATGTAATAGTTAAATATCCAAGTCATCAAGTTTTCTACATTTATGTTTTTTTACTTTTTTAATGTTATTTTTGACAGCCAGGCATGGTGGCACACATCTGTAATCCTAGCACTTTGGAAAATAGAGGCATAAAGATCAGGAGTTCAAGGTCGTCCTCAGCTACATAGCAAGTTTTGAGTCCAGCTTGGGCCAGATAAGATAGGTTTTTTTTTTTTTTTTTTAATGTTTATTCATGTATTGCCTTCATGTAGGTAAGTGCATCCATGTCGTGCAGTGCCCACGGAGGTCAGAAGAAACTGTCAGATCCCCTGCGACGGAGTTACAGATGGTTGTTAGCTGCCATGTGGGTGCTGGGATTCAAACCCAGGTCTTCTGCAAGAACAACCAGTATTCTTAACAACTGAGCCATCTCTCCAGCCCTACAACTCTTTTTCTTTTCTTTCTTTTTTTTTTTTTTTTTGAGACAGGGTCTCCCTGTAGCCCCAGCTGGCCTGGATCTTGCTATGAAGACCATGCTGGCCTCGATCTCATAGAGATCTCCAGCCTCTGCTTTCCGAATGCTAGGATTAAAAGGCCTATGCCACTATGCCTGGCCTTGATTGCCTAAAACTCTTGATCTTTTGGCTTCAGCTTATCAAGTGCTGGGACGACATGTGTGTGCCACCGTACCTGCTTACAGTAGCATTTTTATGTAACTTTTTTTGTCTGGTTACTTCTATAACTTCCAGGGAGTAGGCTGCCTTTTGAAAGGGTTTGTACATCTTGAGGCTTTGGAAACAAACACATTGTAAGATGGCCTTTCAGCAATGCTACTCAGGTTCTCATCTTTTTAATTAGCCTTATACATGCATTGATATCTGATATTTTTATTCAGTTGCAGAATGAAGAGGAGCCTGGGCAACCTGAACAGGCTGCAGGTGATGCTCCTCCACCGTACAGCAGCATCTCTGCAGAGAGTGCAGGTGGGTAGTCGGCCAGTGCCACCATACTCCTTAAATAACACTTACTTGGAGACTTTTCCAGAAGACTTTTGTTGGTCTTTGAATAAGCTCTCCATAAGTTGTCTTTGGCCTGGAGGTTTTCATTCTTTTTTTTTTTTTTTTTTTTAATATGCTTGAGTGTTTGGGCTGCACATTTGCAGTGCCCCTGGAGGCCAGAAGAGGGTATCAGATCCCCTGGAGCTGGAGTTATGACTAGCTGTTCACTGACATGGAGGTGCTAAAAACTGAATCCAGGTCCATCTCACCAACACCAGGCCTGAGGTTTTGTTTCACGTTCTCTGTGTGTGTGTGTGTGTGTGTGTGTGTGTGTGTTGTGTTTTTGTTTCTAAGTTTTTTGAGATAGGGTCTCCCTGTAGCCCCAGTGGTCCTGAAACTCTACATAGACCAGACTGGCCTGGATCTCGTAGAGATCCACCTGACTCTGCCTCCTGAGGGCTGGAAGATGTGTGCCTCCATGCCTAGCTTTTAGTTTATTTTGATATTTTATTTTATTTATTATTTTTATTTTACATGTATGGGTGTATTGCCTGCATGTATGTAAATGCAGTGGTGTCATTCAGTGCTTGCATAGGTCAGAAGAAAGTGTCAAATTTCCCTGGCACTGGAGTTGTTAGCTGCCATGTGGGTGCTGGGAATTGAACCAAGGTTCCCTGCAAGAGCAGCAAGCCATCTCTCCAGGCCACTTTTTGTTTATTTTGAAACAAGATTTCATTGCGTAGCCTAGGCTACCCCCTCAATCCTCTTGCTTCCTCGATCCTCTTGTGACCATATCCCACCTGTGCTTTGTAATCTTGATCTCTGCTTCTGGGTCCTGCAGAGGATTTTGTTGTTCTCAGTTGCTTTGACTGTTCTTAGATCTTTGTATTTCTGTATAAATTTATATAAATTAAAATTAGCTTGTCATTTTTCACAAAACTGGACAAAACAAAAAAATTGATGGGGTTAATTATAACTAGAGAATAAAAGAAAGGAAAATGTCAGTTTTGATGAACTGTAGTATCATATTTTTTTTTGAATTTTTTTTTTGTGTGTGTATGAGTATATTGCCTACATGGATATGAGTGCAGTGCCACGGAGATCAGAAGAGGGCTTCAGATTCCCCTGGAACTGGAGTTAAGGATGGTTCATGGGTGCCGTGTGGGTGCTGGGAATCGAACCCAAGTCCCCTGCAAGAGCAGTCAAGTGCTCTTAACCCCTGAGCCATCTCTCCAGCCCCTGAACTGTAGTATTTTTTAGTGTTAAAAAATTGCATAGAAGTTTAATCTACTTATAAATACGTCTTTCCTGATTATAGCAAATCTTTTTTTTTTTTTTTCAATGAGTATGTGTGTATTGCCTGAATGTTTGTATGTAAGTGCACCCATGTCACGCAGTGCCCTGGGAGTCCAGAAGAGACCATCTGATCCTCTGGAAATGGAGTTATGGAAAGTTGTTAGCTGCCATATAGGCACTGGGATTTGAACCTAGGTCTTCTGCAAGAAACACCCAGTGCTCTTAACCAGTGAGCCACCTCTCCAGCTCCATATTGAATCTTTTATAGTAGACGTCAATGAGAATGAAATACAGTGTCCAAAAGAGGAAATGAAAGATTTCATAGAGATAAATTATTCTATAAGCAAATTGGTTACTGTAAGTACATCAGAAAACACAGTATTCAGTAAAAATAATGAGTCTAAGGTTCATAACCCTGAACAAAACAACCTGAAGAAAACTTTTTTTTTTTTCTTAAAGCTGATTTTCATGCTTGTTAATAAGAGGAACCACAGTGGAAATTGAAATGCACATGTGAAGTTTTTTTTTAATCTTTTGAGAGGAGGTCTTGCTATGTTCCTCTGGGGATGGGGGGTGATTTGAACTTGTGTGATCCTCTAGCATCAGTCTCCCATCTGAGATTAGAGCATGTGCCACCATGCTTGGCTCATGCCTGGCTCATTTTTAGTTTGTGTTTTTCATACTTTATTGAAATTGCCAGGTCTGGTGGTATCCCCCTGTAATGTTAGCTACTTAGAAGTCTAAGGCAAGAAATGTCAAGTTCAAGGATAGCCTGGGCAAAATGAAAAGTAGAAACAGGGTTGGAGATGTGGCTCAGTGGAGACTGTTTGCTTGTTGTGCCTGTGTGTGATCCCCAGTACCATAGAAATAAAAATAAATAAAATGAATGCCTCTTAAATTCGTAGTGGTCTAAAATATCAGTGTTTCAAAAACAATTGGAAGTAAGGATAAAGGAAGTTTTGGTTTTTGTTTTTTTGGTCTTTTGAGACAGGGTCTCCCTGTAGCCCCAGCTGACCAGGAACTCACTATATAGACCAAGCTGGCCTTGAACTCACAGAGATCCTCATGCCTCTGCCTCCAAGTGTTGGGATTAAAGGCATGTACCACCACCCCTGGCAAGTCTTTTTTTTAAATAACTGAGAAGATACACTTTAAAATTATCCCAGGTGTTACATTCACTTATGAATGCCTTTTGTTTCAGATAGTTTTTTTCCCCACAATTAATGGTATATCATCAGTTAATTGTGACTTCCTTTTGTCTGCAGCATATTTTGACTACAAAGATGAATCTGGGTTTCCAAAACCCCCATCTTACAATGTGGCTACAACACTGCCCAGTTATGATGAAGCTGAGAGAACCAAGGCCGAAGCCACCATCCCTTTGGTTCCTGGACGAGTAAATACAGTTTGCTATTCATGTTACTTTGGGGCCTGCTTAATGGAAATTAAGTTATTTTTATTATCCAATAGTAAGTTATTATTTAGGGTTGTATTGGTTAGTTAAGCAAATACATTTTCTTTTGAAATAATAAACTCTTCTTGAAGATGAGCTACAGAATTGTAAAATGGGCAGAAAACCACTAACCCTGTTCATTTTCCCTGTATCTCTAAGAGTGCTACCACCACCCCCTTTTTAAGTCTCCTAGGGTGGCAGGAGTTGACTTAGGGAATAACTATAAGGACTTTGCCTTGATTCTGCACGCTTAATATTTTGGTATTATTAGCTCGGTAGCTGTTAGGGAGGTCTATGGAGAGAACTTAAACATACAGCTTCATCAAGTCACACTCACAAAGGAATCTAGCAATTACCTAGACAAACCTTGTGCCTCTACCATTCGGTATCATGCCATTTGTACAGTTATAGTAAGTTCAGATTCCATCTGACCTGCTAGGGATGCAAGTGGGGTGCAATGTAAGCTAGCAGAAACTTGAAATTGATGCAAGTAAGGGTAGGGATGTAGCTTGGTTGATAGAGAGCTTGCCTCACATGCAGGAAGCCCTGGGTTCAATACCAGCACTGCGTATAGCAGACATGGTGGCACATACGGATCAGAAATTCATGGTCATCCTCAGCTACATACTGAATTTGGAGCCAGCCTGGGATATATGAGACCCTGTCTCAAAGAAGGAAAATAAAGAAGCCAATGAGTCAATCATGGATAAGTAAAGAGAAACTCTTCATGTGCTGATCTTTGGCTGTTCTTGTACCCTTAAGCGTTTGACATCAGCAAGCGGCAGTTGCAGACAGTGCCCTCTAGTGTTTCAGCTCTGTGCAGCCTTGAGAACTGTCCTTCAAAGTAGGGAAGACCACTTGAGAGAATCCTTTTCTTGGGTTTAATGCTGCAGTCCTAAGAAGAGCTTGTCTCTAGCTGAATTACCAAGCGGGCCAAACAGCCTACTCATAGAGCCAGGCAAAGGACAGCTAGAACTTACCAACTCTTGTGATAGTAAAAAATCCAGAGCCAACTATCTGAACAGTTGTGGCTGGAACTGTAAGCAAGCAGTGGCAGTGGCCATGTATCTTCAAGGTATCAATGGAGTGTTTAAAGTAGCAGATGCTGTGGTAGAGGTGGTTCAGCTGGCTGCCTGACCAACAGACCAAGGCAGCCAGAGCCCAACAGCTATCAATTAGGGTATCAAATTGTCTCATCTCCCAACATCAGAAGGAATGGTTACAATAAAAATGTATTAACATTGGTTTTATTTTATTTTATGTATTTATTTATTTAGTCTTTTTTTGTCCCTGTAGCCTCAGCTGTCCTGGAACTCACTATGTAGACCAGGCTGGCCTTGAACTCACAGAGATCCGCCTGCCTCTGCCTCCTGAGTGCTGGGATTAAAGGCGTGCGCCACCACACCCGGTCTTAACATTGGTTTTAATAGCACTTTTTACAATGCTCAACTCCTGCGGTACCCTACCTAGAGGTGGGTCTCCCTCATCTACCTTACATGGCTGTGTCACTGTGCTTTGCAGACCCTTTGGAATCTGCAGAGATCTGCCTGCCTCTGCCTCCCGAGTGCTGGGATTAAAGGTACGCGCTACCACACCCGGCTGAATGAGGTTTTAACCTTTAAAAAAGATCTCCATTTCATTTTAAAATATACTGTTTCATTTTTTTTAAAAAAACCTCTTTTTTACGTTTTGATTGTTAGCCTTAGCCTTTAATGGCTGCACTATCCCTCCAGGTCTGTGAGTTCAAGGCCAGCCTGGTCTACATAGTGAGTTCTAGGACAGCTGGGGTTACAGGGAGACCCTGTCTCAAAAAGACCAAAAAAAACCTCTTTTTGAATAGTACTAACACTTAGATGTTTGCACATGTGTCTCTAATCTCTATGTATCTGATTATTACTAGTCACAGTCATTTACACTCAGATCCTTGGCACCTGAGTATGGATATAAAGTCATCAAGTAGATTTCAATGGTAATGTTTTTCACGTCTACTAATTATTACGGGGCAAATTTTTATGCTTTGAAGAATTATTATTTTTTTAAATTAAAAAATTTAA